CACGCCCGGTGCATGGTCTGCGATCCGACGTAGTCGGATTGCCTACCTGACTAGCTACTTGCATACGAGCGACTTACACCCCCACTGCATCCGATCCGCCGCAGGTGGATTGTCCGTTCGGGAATCGACTTTCACCCGAGATGACTGATAGCTAGACACTCAAACTCAGAATCCGAATTTCCGATTTCAACACACATACGAGAACCGGACACACACGCCCGGTGCATGGTCTGCGATCCGACGTAGTCGGATTGCCTACCTGACTAGCTACTTGCATACGAGCGACTTACACCCCCACTGCATCTGACACTCGGGAATCGACTTTCACCCGAGATGACTGATAGCTAGACACTCGAACTCAGAATCCGAATTTCCGATTTCAACACACATACGAGAACCGGACACACACGCCCGGTGCATGGTCTGCGATCCGACGTAGTCGGATTGCCTACCTGACTAGCTACTTGCATACGAGTGACTTACACCCCCAGTGTCCCCCACTGCATCCGACACTCGGGAATCGACTTTTACCCGAGATGACTGATAGCTAGACACTCAAACCCAGAATCTGAATTTCCGATTTCAACACACACACACCAGAACCGGACATACCCGACCGGTGCATGGTCTGCGATCCGACGTAGTCGGATTGCCTACCTGGCTGGCTGTGTCGTACGATCGACTTGAATCGCGTGACTTACGACTATACACTCTTCCGAGTTCAAAAATTACCGCTTAACCAGTGCTGCCAACACGACAAAGCACAATAACCGACGACCCCCCATTCCCGCCGCAGGCTGGATCAAAAAACCCAGCATCGCCGACAAAGATGCACCACCGCCCACACAGTCTTTCCGCCGTAGGCGGGATGACAAACACCGGAATCTAGTCTTATACTATAAAACGTGAACCCGAGGGCGCAGCTTGTGGAGTAAATCCGAACTGCTATAGACGAAAATGGAGCGAAAACGCGGCGGCGGAGCGTTATCACTCCTCCTTATCGCTTTTCGCGGTTTCGACATGTTTACACGATTTTTTTTCAAACTTTTCGAGTTTTACCCACCTCCGGGGCCTCGGGGGGCACCGTTCGGACCTTATTCGCCTTCCCCGCTAGATTTATAGTCGGCCCGCGGCCCTACTTTTTTCCCGGCGGGCCCCCCGCGGCGGATATCGCGTGCGAACCGAGCGCCGCCGTCGCGCGCGTTTTTTGCATTTTTTTTCGAAAAATCGAGTTTTAGGCGTTTTGGGGCGTATCGACCTCCCCGTTTGCATCTTATTCGCGTTCCCCGCTAAATTTAACGTCGAAACGTGGCCCTACTTTTTCAAAAACGAGTCCCCCGGCGGACGATTCGATCGCCGAGGGCGCCGCGTCGTCGCCGTTTCGACGGTTTTCTCGACTTTTTCGACTAGAGTCGCGTTTAGCACCACTACGAGACGTCCGACCTCCCCGTCGTCGACGTATTCGAGTTCCACGCTAAATTTATAGCCGGCTCGCTTACCTACTTTTTCAAAAACGAGTCCCGGGGAGGAGCGACGTCGCTTAAACGAGAGTAGGTACCGATTGGGTATCGAGTAGGTACCGCTATATACGGGCATAAATACGTGCGTCTCGAGGTTCGATTTTTTTCGCAAAGCTCGGGTATTATACGTCCGAGGGCGGCGGAGCCGGTCGTCCGCTCGCCGACGCTGTCGGATCGCCCGCTCAAACGCCCTTTGACGGCCGTCCAAACGGCGTTCGCCTTTCGCGGGGACGGCGACGCGGCTTAAGAGTCATAGATTTGACTCCGGTTGACATTTGAGTAGGTGGCTAGGTTGTTTAGGCGTTAGGATAGGTGACTCGAGGGTCGTGGTTTCGAACCCGGCGGCCGTGTTCAATCAAATTGCTTTTTTTTGCGTTTTTTTTTTCGTCACATTTATCATTATTAACGAGTGTTAATTTTTTTTTAAATTTGCATTTTATATTATATATATATTAATATTATTCGTTTGACGATATTTATTGGGCATAAAAATTATTATAATTAACATTTACCGACGCACCTACATGTTTCTTTTATAAATACATTATAATATAACTAACCTACGTGTAGTACATGCTTGATATATTACAGTTTTTACGTGTGTTATATGTAAGCATAGTATGTAGTATATAGTTATATTAGAGTATAATATTTGTATTATGATATGTATACTGGCGTACGTGACTACGGAGCCGGACGCTCGACCAGGAATCTGCTGATCCAGCGATTCCCACCCTGGCCGTTGTACAGAAGGGCCCCTTGGTCACGGCCGCCTCGGCAGTCTCGTAGACACAGGCGTCCAGTCAGAACCTCTTTTCATTTTTATACAGAAAATCATTTTAATAAGTCAATAAACACATCTTTTAATCTTTTAAACAGAATCTTTGCATTATTTCTTTAAAACACGTCCCTAATCTCTAAACTAGGAATAACAGCGCGCCGGTACACATCATTTGGTGGCAGCGGGAGTCAACAATTTTATTATAAAATAAATTGTTGAAGAACCTACGTGTACTATCGCCTTTCCATATAGTTGGAGAAACGGACAATCGTCAGAGCATCAAATATCAAGAGACTCCAGAGCATCTTAGAACCAAAACGAAGAATTTACAGAGCATCGAGATTTTCAAGTACGTGTATTCATGTTATATACAATACGACGTAGGAACGTCGCAAACAAATTACAAAAACCGCAAACGTCAGCACCAGCAACGGCAACGCCGAACGCCGCCGCCGCCGTCGCTGAACCCGTCACCACCACCGAGAGCCGCCCAACGACGAACGTAACCGGAGACCGTCGTGTCAACACGACGCATCAGCCACACCGATCGCGCACGGAGTGTCAAGGACGTCAGCGCCGCCGCATTCGTGATATATCGAAGACGCCGCCGCCGCCGCCGTCGACGCAATAACTAGGTCACAGCTGTTGTCATCGCGTATCAATCAAAACAAACGGTTATCACCATCAACAATGTTATCATATATAGCCGCCTCGTTCTTGTAGTTACCACAATTTTTTTTTTTTTTTTTTTTTTAATAAATCGCAACGCATAAACGCAGGATAATTTATTCGGTTGTGCAGTAATATAAAATTAGTAATAGTACGATTTAAGGGACGGGAAAAATAAATCGAAATCAATATAATAAAAGCGATCGTAATTAATTTTGTACTATTATAATTTTATATATTAATACTTAATTTTGGTGTACGCTTTTCTTTTTATTATTATTTTTTTTTTATTTTTTTTATTTGCTTTTATTTTTGTTATTTGCATGGAATCGGAAAGGTAATTGAGGAAATTAATTAATTAATTAATTAATTTCTATATTGTTTGGTTATTTACTCGGGCTATTATTTATATCAATCGAAGTCTATGTCAGATATTGATCAAAACGAAACCAGTAGTTCTGAAAATCTTATAGATCTAGAAAGTAGTGTTAGTGTCCCTTCTAGCGGGGAATTATACGAACCTTCTGGCGAATTCGACTCCGATGATAGTAGGTACAGCAATATATCTCAGTCGGAACATGTTTTAGATAGGACGAACAATTCTATAGGTATCACTGACTCGGTTCTCGAAGACGCGAGAAACTTATTTAAATTAACTCTTAATCAAAATCAAGCAGTAAAGAAAATAATAATGTCAAAGTTTATGACAACACACCAAGCTTTAAACTGATCCCTTGTTCAATGGGGAAAATGCTGATGATAGTTTTGCATTTCATAATGCATGCGAATATGCGTTACAAAGCATCGACCCAGCAGAGAAAGAAAATCTAATTAGGGGTATAACAACTCGATTATAGGCAAGCCATACGTCCATTTAGACATAAGAAACCTACCACTTATAAGGAACTTAAGGAAACTTTAGACCTCACTGTTAACAAAAAACAAACGTTAACGCATTTACATTCGAAATTATCAACATTTAAGATAGCTTCGGGGGAGTCTATTCAGCAATATAGCGACAGGGCTGAGCAATTATATTACGACATTATAGAAGCATCCATGGCAACAAATGAAATTTCTAATACCGACGATTTATCCAAAATAACAGAAAGGCAAGTTTTATCAGCTTATACCGAAGGGTTACCGCATGATACAAAGATTTTAGTAAAAGCTAGTAGACCGAATAAATTATCGGAGTGTGTCCAAATTGCATTGGAAGAAGAAACTTCACGTAATAATCAAAAAGAAATTCGCAAAAACATTAATGATTATAAAAACAATAGGACTGATTTTAAGCCAAGTAATAGCTACGGAAGCAAGACAAATTCGGTACAAAAATCTAACAGTAGACCACCTGGTGCATGTTTTCGTTGTGGACGTACAAATCATCAGGCAAAACAATGCCGTGCATCAGAAGCCGATCAAGCCCGTTACAGAGAATCGCAAAATAAGAGTAAAACGGAAACAAAAGCTATCAGAATAGTACGTGCAAACTATTGTAAAAAACCGAACCACACTATAAGTGAATGTCGCAAACGAAAGTACGTTAATGAACGTAAGGCACAGGAGCAACAAAGCACTTCGTCGGGAAACGAACAAACGCCGGGTCCAAGTGGCGCTCGCCCGGTGGGGGATATCAAAACAGCCACTCTGAACCTGCAAGGGCTTTCTATTTCCAGGCAGAATTAATTAATAAGCATATCACATTAAAAATTCCTCAGTGCTTGACAAATAGTGTTAAATTACTTATAGATACTGGTAGTGATTTAAATATGATAAAATTATCCACTTTAAGAAATGAAGTCATGGTTGATGAAACTCAAAGTTATCAGCTAAAAGGAATCAATGAATACTTAGTACGCACGCTAGGTTCCGTAATCCTCAATTTAAATCTTGGCACTGAAACCCTTACAACCAAATTCCAGGTAGTCCATGACGATTTCCCAATCCCTCATGAAGGTATTCTAGGAAACCCGTTTCTTACCGAAAATCGTATCGCAATAGATTATTATTCGTCCAAAATCTTTCAAATGAATACCGATCCTCTCAAACTTTCGCCGCGTTCAGAAACCATCGTACCAATCGCTAGCACGAGACCGGAAGGAACAGCTTTAGTAGTCCATTCACAAGTTCTACAAGGAGAAAACGTCCGTCTCGGAAATGTGGTAAACACAGTTAAGCATGGAAAAATATTAGCTATTGCCATCAACACTTCAGAAGAGCACATTACGATACCACCTTTAAATATAGAAGAAATTGAATTTGAGGAGTTCCGAGAAACCTCCACGTTGATCGCGACAAATACTGACGAAATTACGGAAGACACGCATCGCATTAGTCGCATTCGGGAAGCTATACTATATCGAGAGTTAAATGCGGAAGAATCAAATAGTCTCTGGAAGGTGATTAGCGAGTACCCAGATATTTTCCAGCTGGAGGGGGATTCATTCCCTTCTACCGATGCAATACAGCACGAAATCCACCTAAAGGAAGGAGCGAAACCTGTCAACGTTCGACCGTATAGATTGCCATACGCTCACGTCAAGAGATTGTCAGGACAATGGAAGAGTTAGAAAGTAACAATGTTATACAGCCTTCCGAGTCCCCTTGGAACGCACCACTCATCGTGGTCGCGAAGAAACCAGATGCTCACGGAAACCCAAAATACCGAGTGTGTGTTGATTTCAGACGCCTTAATGAACTGACCGTTGGAGATGCATACCCTATACCTAGGATAGACGAAATCTTAGACCAATTAGGCCGGTCGAGATACTATACCACGTTGGATTTGGTTAGTGGATACCATCAAGTATCAATAAAAGCAGAAGATCGTCAAAAAACAGCGTTTTCTACTGACAAGGGCCACTATGAGTTTCGGAGAATGCCATTCGGGTTAAGCGGAGCTCCTAGTACGTTTCAACGCTTAATGAACACAGCTCTAACAGGGATCAACGGGACCAAGGCCTTTGTATATTTAGACGACATAATTGTTTACGCTTCAGACTTACAGGACCATGAATCCAAATTACGGGATGTATTTTCAAGACTCAGAAAGTTTAATCTTCGCTTACAACCATCAAAGTGTCAATTCCTACAGAGAGAGGTGATATATCTAGGACATCTCATTACAGATAAAGGAGTCAAACCTGATCCGGGAAAAATCCAATGCGTACAAAACCACCCAGTTCCCAGAAATACAACGGAAATCAAGCAGTTCTTGGGGTTATCTGGCTATTATAGGAGATTTATTAAAGGATACAGCCCAAACAGCGCAACCACTTACAGCACTTTTAAGCAAAGACGTACCATTTGAATGGTCGACCGAATGTCAAGGAGCTTTTGAAACGCTCAAGCAGAAACTCGTAGAAGCACCAGTATTACAATATCCTGATTTTGAAAGACCATTTATCCTAACCACAGATGCCAGCCAATTCGCAATTGGAAGTATTTTGTCACAGGGTACACCGGGACAGGATCGACCTATCGCATACGCATCCAGAACTCTTAATAAAGCCGAACAAGCATATAGTACGACCGAAAAAGAGTTGCTAAGCATAGTCTGGGCTGTAAAGAACTTCAGACCTTATTTACTTGGGCGTCAATTCAAAATTTACACGGACCACAGACCATTAACTTGGTTGTTTAATGTAAAAGATCCAGGTTCAAGACTTCTACGTTGGAGATTAAAGTTAGCCGAATACCAATATGAAGTAATTTACAAAACTGGAAAGTCCAATACCAACGCTGACGCACTAAGTCGAATAATGGAAGTTAAAGTCATGCAAACCAGGTCTCAACAACAATCAGCAGAATCACTTATAAATGTGAAACTCTTCCACGAGTACATATCGGATAGTGAATGTCAAAATCATCGGAACACACGAGTCCAGGAGGTAACTGGAGACCTCTTCACCCGTTCAGAAGAATTCCATTTACTACACTGCGTGTCGGCTGATCTAAAGCTGAATCAGGGTATCGCCCTGGAATTTCGAAGGAAATTCGGACACCTACAGAATTTGAAACTTCAGCGCCCGAAAAAAACCGAGGTAGCATACTTTCAATTGGGAGCACGATACATCATCAACCTCGTAACGAAGGATAAATTCTGGCAAAAGCCAACTTTGGAAGACATGTACATTTCTTTACGGAACCTCCGATTTTTTTGTCAAGAATTTGAAATCAAGAACCTAGCCATGCCCAAAATTGGTTGTGGATTAGACCAATTAGATTGGCCTACGGTGTTACGAATGATCAAGTACATATTTCAAAACTCAGAAATTAATATACAGATATTCTCTAAACAAAGTGTTTCCGCACTAGATAAACAACAAATTATAAGTGAACATCATTCGGCAGTACTTGGTGGACATCGTGGAGTCAATCAGACAGTCAAGCGAATTCAGAAGCAGTTTGATTGGGAGGGGCTAAGTCAAGATGTCACTGAATTCATTAGCAAATGTTCATCCTGTCAAACGAATAAGACTTCGTCGCGTAGTACCAAGCAACCAATGGTAATCAGTACCACCGCATCCGAACCCTTTGAAAGAGTATTTATCGACGTAGTTGGTCCACTCACTCGATCTTATCAAGGAAATGTATACATCCTCACCCTTCAGTGTGACTTAACCAAATTTTCGGTGGCAACACCCATGGCTAACAAAGAAGCTAATACGGTAGCGTATCATTTCGTCACCTCATTTGTGTGCATTCACGGTATTCCACAGAATCTAATAAGCGATCAAGGAACCGAGTTCCTTAATAAAATCTTTTCCGAAACATGTAAATTAATAGGAGTAAAACGCATAAATACATCTCCATACCACCCACAAGCGAATGGTGCACTAGAGAGGAGTCACCGCACGCTAGGAGAATACCTCAGACACTATGTAGATGCAGACCAACAGAATTGGGATACCTACATACCATACGCCATGTTTACTTACAACTCATCGGAACATCAATCCACTGGCAAACAACCTTATGCACTTCTCTATGGGAGAACCTTACAAGTACCCTCATCACTAACAAAACCACCGGAACCACAGTATAACTACGACGATTATCAAGAAGAACTTAAACAAAGGCTACGAGAATCTCATCGTATAGCTCGAGAACGTTTAATGAAGAACAAAATCAAAACCAAGGCTAGTTATGATCAAACGTCAAATCCAATAACGATTCATGTTAACGATAGAGTGCTTATTCAGGACAAAACTAGAAAGGGTAAGTTAAGCCCTAAATGGTTAGGCCCATACGTCGTACTGGAAATCAACGAGAACGAGAATGTGACAATACAGAGAGGGAAACGGAAAACCAAAGTCCATAAGAATTTAGTGAAAATATTTAAAGAGTAGCCATATGGAATTACTAATTTGTACATATCTTTTTTTTTTATATGCACCTTTTCCTTAACGGCACACTAATTCATTAATATTGGGGAAGTTCTTAGATCTTATAGCAACTACTTTGTAACATAATCGAAATCTTACAGGCTGGTAGCAACTGTCCCACTGGATGTGCAAGCAGAAAGTATTACACAACTTCCAGAAAGTCTAATTAGCTTGAATACCTTCTCGGACCACATGGGGATGTACTATGAATTCAGGGAACATATCAAACTCACTAACACAGATTGGAACCTCATAACTTTTGTGGATTTATCCAATTTTAATTCAAAATTTCAGTTGTTAAGGTCAACATATAAAGCCACGGCAGAAGTTTGCACTGATCTACAATATAAAGTTAATGTAACCGAATTCTGGCATCCATGCAAACAATTCGATCAATCCATTAATACATATTTTTTCGAAATCGAAGCCAATCTGGAAAATATTTGGACAACAATAGGGCAGGATACTAGTGCGGAAGGACGAGTTCGTCGCAGTTTTGGTACTTCACTCACCAAGCTGGCAAAAGTATTATTCAGCTCAAAATCATTTTTAGATGTAAATTCGATTCTTCAAGGGATTAAGGATCTTTCCATGACGAAACAACCGACAAGTGATTTAGTAGAAAATCAAACTAGATTATTCCAAACAACTATGAGTGAGATTTCAAAATCGATCAGCAACATATCCGACCATCAACAAAAGCTCAAAGAAAATTTTCAACTTCTACAAACTCAGGCAAACAAAAATTCTATGACAGTGAATACATTAATGGTAAAAACCACTTTGTTAGAACAATCTATTATTTTAGAATCACTCCTTAATCAATACGCGTACGAAACGCAAAATCTCATTTCTATTATAAATTCAGCAATTCATGGAAAAATTCACTCCACAGTATTACCACCAATTAAGCTTATTAAGGAACTTAAAGCAATCCAATTAACGTTACCTGCAGGAACCCAACTTCCAGTAGAACCAAAAATACAGAATGTACCAGAGTTTTTCTCAATATCTTCTGTTTCCATACTACAAAAAGATTTTCTTCTCGTTTTTGCATTGCATTTCCCTATAATCACTGTAAATAGCTACGACATGTATCACCCCATTCCATTACCCTTTTTTATGAAGGAGGACAATGCTGTTATCATTGAGCCAGAGATTGATTATATAGCTTTTAGCGATGATAGCGAATTCTATTTCACCTTGACTCAACAACAAAGTGATTCTTGTACTAGGCTAACTTCATACACTATTTGCAAAGGCAATGAACCAATTCAACGAAGGGCATCCTCTAAAATGTGCGAGGTAGAAATCTTAAAAAATCCGCAATTTCTTCCGATTTCATGTAAAAGTAAATACATAAAACTTGATGTAAGCATTTGGAACCGATTATTTAAAACGGATTCTTGGATTTATTGTACTCGTTCTGAATTTGTAACCCTAAATTGTAAAAACCCTCAAAAATCATTCCAGTTTAATATTAAAGGCATTGGCCGACTTAGTATCTCTCCTTCTTGTATACTACACACAACTATGGCAATAATGTCACCTATCTTAAACACATTTATTAACCATACATTAGATTTAGTACCGGAAAGTCCGTTGTTTAATATAAGTAGCATCAAGGAATTAGATATAGAAGATATTAATCCCCATACACTCAGTCATTTTGGTTTATATAAAAATCTCCGCCAAGCAATACGTGAATCCACAATAGAACGAAAATCGAATAATAGAATAACAGAAAACATTTTAATAGTTCCAATGGAATATCATATTATTGTAGAATATCTTTGTATTTTAATAGTAGTAATAGTTATCGTATTTTTATTTGTAAAATCAAAAAAGCAAAAAACCTATGTTTATAAGCCAGAAATAGCAGAAACTGAATGTTAATTTTTCTGTAATTATATATATATTGTTTTTTTTAGTATATTAAGTCGCAGGGACTGCTCTGGTTTGGCCCTGGGGGCATGTTATATGTAAGCATAGTATGTAGTATATAGTTATATTAGAGTATAATATTTGTATTATGATATGTATACTGGCGTACGTGACTACGGAGCCGGACGCTCGACCAGGAATCTGCTGATCCAGCGATTCCCACCCTGGCCGTTGTACAGAAGGGCCCCTTGGTCACGGCCGCCTCGGCAGTCTCGTAGACACAGGCGTCCAGTCAGAAC